TTCTAATCTCAGTTCTATAGTTAACAAGCTGTGTGACCTTTCTCTAGTCTCTTAATCTTTTTGAGCCTCATCTTCACCATCAATATCTGTTCTACTCCACAGCATTTTGGGACATTTCAACCCCAGACAGACTATAAGAAAGACTGTAAGTGGCTCAAAGTGAAATGATTTTAGAAGTAAGAGGGCAAACTTCAAATCATTACTGCCCATCTGGGAAGTCTGATAAGACAATATTATGTTAAAACCCTGTATTTTTTTTTAAATCACCAAGGGAGGAGAGAATAAAAATATCAGAGCTGAAGACAAAGATCTCCATTATGAATCATCCAGATGACTTGTTAAACATGCAAATTTCTGGGTCACACACCAGAGATTATAAGTCAGTAGGACCTGAGTTGGACAAGGATTCTGAATATTTAATAAGCTCCCTGTGTGATTCAGAGGCAGGCGGTTCATTAAGACTTTGAGAAACACTGGTAATTGCCAATCAAAAGCAAACATATGATTAAATTTTTTTAAGACAATGAACTAAAAAGAAACTGGCAGAAAGCAGAGTAAGGACAATTCAATATAAAGTTACAGGACTAGAGAGACAAGACCCTCTGAAGGGTAGGCCAAGTAGAGGAGAATTCACAGCCAGGTCTAATCTCTCAAAACGTCTCTAAGGTTGTTATTCAAGACGCAGTTCGCGAAGATCATGGAGGAAAATGGGCAAATCCAAGAGTCAAAAGGCCATAAAATGGAAGGAAAACAGGAAGTCAGACAAAAATGGCCACAGAGTATAGTCAGTGGCATGGTAGAATTGTTTAGCTCCATAGAGATGGAAGAGATTTAGGAAATCACTGGTCAAGGCAGAATACCTTTCATCAAAAAGGAGAGTAAGAACCAAGTGTGTGAGAAAACAGAAAAATGTGAATGTCCTTATATTTATAAGAAATTGACATGCAATGTTCATGGAAAGTTTGTTTGTGGGAAATAAAAATATTTCAAGAGGAAAATGTCTCTTAAAAATATTCTATATGAATGTTAGTATAGGAGATGAAAAAGTACTTTGAAAGCATAAAAAAGTGAATCATATGGTCATTGTATTTTTTGTGACTATCAAATTTGTTTACTGTTTTTCTGACTTAGAAGCTAGTTAAGGGGGGTTGCAGAGCAATATCTCTGGATCCCTAGGGTTTACCACAATGTTTGACATTAATAAGTACTAACTAGATCAATGAATGGATAGATGAAAAGGTGGGTGGATGGATATAAGTGTGAGTGAGTGGGTAGATGAGCACATAGCTAGACAGGTGTTTGAATGAGTGGGGAACTCATGGGGAAAACAGGGGAAGAGGTGCGTGTTCACATAATTTTAACAAACTTCATAAGATTCATTCTCTACTTTTCTTGGACTTTATTTGTATATCCATGATATGCCACATCCACCTTTTTCCATCTATTTTTTTTTAAGATTTATTTATTTATGCATACAAGAACTGGGGTATAGGCCAGAGGTGTGTGGGGGGGTGAGAGGACTCACCACCAGAGACAGAATAGAGAACAGAACAGGCAGATCGACTGAAATATACGCTGCTGAGGGGAGCTGCAGGCGAGTCAGAGGAGGTCTGCTGTGCCGTGTGGGTCACCTCCCTGGCAGGTGATTGAACTGGTGCTGCAGAGGCTGCAGACAGCTTCATAGGTTGTGTCTTAACCCCTTGCATCACCAGGGAGGCTCCTCCATCTATTCTGTACTTAGTTTCTATAAACTATATTTCCCAGATTCCCTCACTAACTTTCAGCTAATTCTGGCAAGTGAAGGAGTCATTTTTTCTTTTTTATACTCTTGCTTCTGGAAGTGGCTGCACCCTATGAGTTCTATAGGTTCCACGGTAACTCCCCTTCTTTGGTGTTCCTGCCACTGGCCAGGGAAACCATTCTCTGCAGTCCTGGCACTGGCTTGTGAACCCCTGTAATATGCTCTTGGGTTGTAATACACTCCTCTACCCTTTTACTTCCCCAGTCCCTACAGCTAGCAACCTGCTTCCTACAGATAATTATCTCTGGGAATCACTCTTTATCCTATGTGCTTCTCAAGCCTCCTTGTTTTTCCTCTTTAGCTTTTCCATCTCTTCCAACACCCATAAGACTAAGATTAGTATTACATACTCTCTTTGTGAAACATAGAGAAGTGGTTATTCTGAGCATACATTGACTGACATACTTGGTAAATCAGGGGAAGTATGATTACACTAGGTATAGACAATGCAATATCAAAAACATATTTCATTTGTTCCAAAAGAATCCAGAATAAAGACAGAAATTAAGTTGGAAAACTAGATCATTATTAAGTAGTATATATAAGGCAGAAAAGCCTTTCTCCTATTCTGAAATATCTACTACTTATGTTACCTTATTACTACTCTTATTTTTTGAACATTCTGCTTTTTTTATCTACAAGAATCTCCTTCTCATGGAAGCCTCTCTGACTATTCCAATTACTCTTACTCTGAATCCCTTTGGTTCTCTGATTTTCTAATTCCTTGAGTATTTCTCCATGTATATTATCAAATTCTTTTGTTGGAGCACTCCCAAAACCTGAGGAATCATCAGAATTCTCAGAAAAAAAAAAGATGCATACAAACACCAAGACCCTACTCCCACTCCTAACCTTCTGGAATAAGAATTTCTAGAATGAGGGACAAGAGAGGCAAGGTTGAAAACATATATACACATTTTTCTGATATAACTCAGATAATAAACCTTCAAGATAATAAACCTTCAAAATCAGGGACCTCCCATATCTTACATAGTTTTTACTATGTCTAACAGTTTAAGCAGATTCAATAAAAATTTGTCCAATAAAAAAAAAAAAAATGAGTGAAGATGCCCAGAAAGACCAGGTGGTGTCACTACTGCCTAATTAATATTTCTGGTCCAATGAAGAACATCTGACATAGCTAAATTTGACTTTCTCTGGACTCACTGATTCTACACGTGAAATCATCTTTCCATTGTTTTCTTTTTTCTTTCTTTTCTTTACTAAGAGAGAATTGCATAAACTCCACTAATAAAATAGCCAACCTAAATAGTGTCATAACTTGGGTTCTCTGAAAGGAAATCATGGCAAGTTCTGATGCTGCCAGCTTCATGTGAGAATGCAAGAACTAAAATGAGTAGAAATAAGTCTCTCCTTGTCCCAGCACCTGAGATTTCATCACCTTAGTTTCTTGGCACTAGCTTTCTGAAGTGCAAGCATGAGAAACAAATGCTTAATAAGTGCATAAGAAAAACCAAATTGAGGGTCGGCACCCAGGGTGAACTGCAGGCACCGACCGGGAAAGAGCAGCCCTCTGCACCATTGTTGGAAGCCAAGGACCTCACGATTTCATTCCGGAACTGAGTAAATACAGAGGGAGGGGATCTTCAGGCGCAGCACCCATCAACATATCCACAGAATCTCTACCCTGTGGAGTCTGGTGTAACAGTGCTGGACTCAACATTCCCCACAAGAATCATTTAGCCTTTAATTGGTTACCCTGAAAAACAACAAACTGTCTCTTAAAAATTTCACCTTTGGGCTACTCTACCAATTAGAAAATTCCTCTTTACTCTGAACTGAAAATTGTCTCCTGTTAGCCACCAACCAGAAGTGTTAGGTCTAGCCTACTGGGCAACAAAGACATTATCTCTCCTAACTGTGATATGCTAGCCCTTCCCATGTGTCACCCATTCCCCTTGCACTACTCAGTCTTATTCAAGCCAAGGATTCCTTTAACTATTCCTCCTACCTTAGACCACCAAGTGTATTCATTGCTGGGAAAAGATCTGTTGACCATGCTCCAGGCTGTGTATTTTTCAACAAGGCTGGGCAACATATGAATCAGTGGAAAGGCCATGCCTTGAGACTAAGGTGCATGATCCACAGCAAGGTTTACTGAAGACATATAATAAAAATGCTCATAAGCAAGTCCTGGCAATACCCACAACGGAAACAGAATTTGGAAGTCCTACAAGTTAAAGTGGCTTGGGAAACAAAGCGTAAGGACAACTGGAGATGACAGAAGAATCAGTGACCCTGAGAATAGATCAGTAAAACTTATCTTAATATAAGAGAAGGGTGGGGGAGAGAGAGAATGATAAAAAATAAAAAATAAATAATAAAGCCTCCAGGACCTGTGGGGCAAAATGAAATGAATGTATATGTAAGTGGAATTTCTGAAAGAACAGAAAGAATAAGGTAAGAAAATTATGGTGCAGGGGTAAATTGGTGAAGGAAATTCTATGGGGACTATACCTGAGAGGGGCGGGGGTAAAGCAAACATTGTTTAAAAATGAATAATTTTGTAATATATATATAAATAAAAATATATAAAATATATATAAATAAAAACTATAAAAAGAAAAAAGTATTTTAAGAAATAGTAGACAAAATGTTGTAAATGTCAACAGAAAGTTTTGGAGTTATGAGTTGCTCCTAGCATGGAAGAGATGCACAGAACACAGATTAGGGAAAGCTACATTTCTGGACTTTTCAAGGAGGAAGTGGGTAGTAACAATGCTGTCAGTTATTAATGAGAAAAAGGACTTGTATAGACAAAGGCAAAGAAAGGACACTTAAATCAACTGCAGTGACAAAGCTTCAGTCAGTCTGAACTTACACAGAATGAATACCTACTCTGGATTGGATGTTTTATATACATTTGCTTACTTAACTATTATGAAAACACATAGGTATTATTTATTAACCCTCATTTTCCAGATGACATCACTGAGGCTAGGAAAGATTCAACAGCTTGTTCAAAGCTCCACATGTAATAAGGGGTGTAGTTCAAGGCCGATTTCAAAATCTGTTTTCCTAACAGCGATATTATCTGGCCATCCTGTAGGCTGTTCATTTTCTTCCCCTTCAAGGAAGCCCTAGACACACCCCCTACCTTCACCCCCACCCCATATGCAAATGTCACCTGAGATGTGTCCCATAGTCCAGAACCCATAGGTAAGGGAGAAGGACTTACCTTGCCTGGAGAGCCCACAGCGCACATCACTACTTCAGGACTTCCAAGGGCTGTAGAAACTCGAAAAACACGTTTGTGAAATATGCTCCTTTATAGTCTCCATTTCTAAAGTTTCTTTTGATCTTGAATTAATGAAAACTTCAGAGTCCAAGCCTCTACATCAAAAATAGCTAGCAGAGTACACTTCTTGGTCCTGGACACTAGCAGAAGGCTCACTTCTCCTCAAAACAACTACACCATGTGAAGAAAAAACCCACACCATAAGGATGCCTGCATTTGAGGACAGTACTCAGACTACCCTGATGCCCAACTGTAATGGTTAAACAGATGCTCAGAGTGAACAAAGATTCAAATCAATTCAAGAAGAATTTGTTGAGAATCTACAAAATTTCAGGCACTTTTACTTATCCTGCTAGGATACACATAAATAGGGCCAGACACTAAAAATCCAGACGAGGAGGCTACCAAGGAAGCACTTTGTGGGAACATCAGGGCCAGGTGGGTGTGGACCAATTCCTGGTGAAGCCCTGAATCCTCATGCCCTCCAGCACACTCACAACATGCGGGTGACAAAAGTCAGCGGGAGCCCCGTCGTCAGGCTCACTGTGGAAGCCAAGAACCCAGCTTGTGAAGGGACTGAAGTGGCTGACTAAATCGTACCCCATAGTACAGAGCAATCACTGAAGCGTCAAGGGAGCACATAACTTGGGGCGCCAATGAGGTAGTCTGGAGACACACTTGAAGGACCTAGAGGAGTCCCACAACAGCATTCCCAACAAGAATTCCAACCAGGTCCTCTCATCCTGAGAGACCAGCAGTGAAAAGTGGAACGTAATGATGCTGACGAGCCTCTGAACAGACACAGCAGGCCGTACACGAAGGCGCGCCCTTTTGTGGAGGGCCCGGCCGTCGACATCCACCTGGGCCAGGTGTCCGTTCTCCACAAGTTCAGGCCGCGGGCCGCTTCTTGGCTGAGATGGACAAGCGCCAGGAGGCCGAAGCCCACAAGACTTGGTGTTGTGGGTCTTCTAGCCTCCACACGCTCACCGACGACTGGGAGGATGTGCAGCAGCCCCGGGAGACCCCTGACAGGCCGCGGACGCTGTCTGTGGGGAGCGCGCGTCCACGTCAAGCGCGCGCGACCCCGAGCATGCGCACTTGACAGCGCGCGCAGCCGCTTCTGCAGGGCAACCAGGTCTTCTGCATAGCAGCTCGCGCTGAGTCCAAGCCCTGTCTGCCCGATTCAAAGAACCCGTCTACTTTCGGAATCCAACGTCTGGAACAAGTGCTTGCTGGCATCTGCGTCCTGAACAGCGGGCAAGAGATTCCCGGGTGGCCCGCACACTCATGTTTGCCAGCAAGACCCTCCTGCCCATCGAAGCGTGCTTTGGCTTCATGAACGTAAGGTCCCGCACCCTGGGGGCCAGGCCTTCCACCTGCCCTGGCCTGCCCTGCTGCATGCACAAATTGTAGGCGTCGCTCCTGGCAGCGGCCTGGCACCTGGCAAAACTCCACGCAGACTGCTCGGGGCCATGATATTCCAGGGCAACAAGAGCTCAAGTTCTCCTCACCATACCTAGAGGCTACCCAGAAACAGGGACGATGTGCCTAACAGGTGTCTGGCACCCACTTCGTACCATTGCTCAGCATGAGCAGTTGATGCCGTTTCTTTCAACATTTATTTCAAGATTTCAGAGGTAATAGAATACCCTCAGGGTATAAGGGGGGCCTTATTTGGCCTGTGGGTGTGGGGGAAGAGGAATAGGAACCCCCACAAGCACACACTTTTTTTTCATTATTTAGAGGGAGATTCCTCCAAAGGAAGTTTAAAATAAACACCTTAAGAGGTTAATTTGGGTAGATGGCCTGCCTGTAGTATATTATCCTCCAGAAAGGGGGAAGAAACAAGTAGCTAGACATTACCATTGGGACAGAAATTAGAAGTCAGGAGGTCTTATGCAGTGTCATGGTGAGTACCTCCAACTGTTTTAGGTCCATTAAAATAAAAAATTTGAGGGGCCTCCCTGGTGGCGAAAGTGGTCAAGCACAGCACTATGAAGCAATCCACAGCCTCTGCAGCACTAGTTCCACCCCTGGCCAGTCAGGGAGCAGCCCACATGGCACAGCAGACCTCTCCTGTCTCCCCCGCTGCTCCCCTCAGCAGTGTTTTCAGTCACTCTGCCTGTTCTTTTCCCCACTCTGTTTCTGGTGAATCCTCTCACCCCCTGTGCACCTCTGGCCTGTACCCAGCTCTTGTATGCATAAAAATAAATAAATCTTTTTTAAAAATAAATTTAAAATTTGATGTGATAATGACAAAATAAAAAAGATTATGTCTGGGGTGCATAGAGAGATAAGTAAATAGACAACATAGCCTGATAAGTAAAGGGACTGACATATACAGAAGGTTCTAAGATAGCACAGAGAAGGAAGTGATTAATTCAATGTGTGTGGATAAAAGAATAATTCATGTATATTCTATAAACATTTCCTGAATACATACTATGTATTGCAATAGGCCAAAACCTGCACAAATACATTGCAAGCAGAGAAGACAAGAGAGATTTCAGGCAGAGGAGATCACATGCATGTATATAGATTCCTGGGGTGTTTAAAGAACTGTAAGACATTGCAAATGATATAGAATAAAATAGAATTTGAAGGGGAAGAGTGGCAGATGTAACTGAAGTATGCAATAACTCTTACTGTTTAATGACTGCAATAATTCATATGTGTTTAGGCAACTATGTGCAAGAAACAGCATAATTTTGTGGATATTTAAAGCCCAGACAGTATATATACTAGTGCTTGATAAACTTTTTAAATTGCTAATAGGTTTTCCATGCTTATATTTTTGGAAATGCCTGACCTCTCCGACCTCATCCTCTACCCTCTTCAGAGGATAAGGTCAAAATCCGGGGAGTTAGGGATTTGCCTTACTCTCAGGCTGAAGGAGCCTCAGCTGATAGTGGCTCTTCCCCACCTAGATGTCCACCCTGGGGTAGGATAGGTACAGTCAGATATAGCCTGGCTACCTCTCCTTATACCAACTTTCCCACCTTTCCTTGACTCACTGGGAGAAGATTTAGGTCATGCTTTTCCTGATATATTAATGAACAACTCCAAGCAGTTGAGAGTTGGGGTAGAAACAGAAACTGCCTTTTTTTTTTTTAAAGTTAAGCTTCTTATATCTCAAAAAGAGAATAAGTCACCCATGTATTAGGGCTTTTAGCAAGTATCTCCATAAAGGCTAGCACTCCCTTCTTAATTCTTCTTTAGTCTCTTTATCTTCCTGTCTTACCCTTTATTTGGGCACCACTGCTCCATGTGTATCCTCCCCTCCCCTTTCTACCACCCTCTACTATTTCTGCCAGTTACCTCTTGAATCTGGAATAGTCTGGACTCCAGTTTCAGCTACTTGCCAGTGAAGGATTTCTCTGATTCCTCTTCCATAATCCTCCTCTGTAGGGGGCCTTCTCTTGTGGAAGGGCCATGCATTCAGAATGTTTCACCTCCAATGAGCCTGCCCCTAATTTGCCCCCTAATGTTCCTTAAAGAAAAACTGCAAGAAAAAGAGTTTCTTCCAAGATTGCCCTTTTTAGTCTATATAAGGGGCATATTCTTTTATTAATATAACTTTGATCCCACTCCTTTTGAGTTAGGAACACTAGTTGTCTCTCCTGATCTGGTTTCTTATTTAACACTTCCCATGTTAACTGAAAAACCACTGTGCCTGGGTCACCTGAGATAATGGGATTGTACTCAAATAGTTTCTTCCTCACTACGAGATTTCTTCCTGATAAAAGTCAAAGAGGCTGTGTGTATGGAGAGATGGGGTAGGGGAGGGTGAAATGTTTAGTGAATGAACTATGAATGAGCCATGAAATATGTAAATATATGGCATATATATATGTGCATGTGTATTTGAAAACTGAAAAGTTATCACATTTCTCCATTCCACTGAAGACAGGCAAACTAGAAAGGAGTTTGTATTCTCAAAAGGTTTCAGTAACCACTTAGCACAAGGAAGCCACAGCCATACCTGAAGACTACTGTTATTCTTACAAAAATGGTGCATCTCCCAAGGGTCTTTAGAATAGCTGGACTGAGTAGAACTTATCTCTTACCTAGCTTAGCTGGGATTTGTGACCCCTTTTGGGAAAGGGGAATTGAGGTCACTTTTATCTCAGTACAATCCTGAACTGTCCATTCTAATGAGAGATACTCTTGCACCTTTTTCTTTATTTAATCTAGTCCACAATTTTAATATATTTTCTTCTCCTCAGATCACACACATACCTCAAATGCAACAAATTTTTGAAGTATTGAAGCTAAGGCAGGAAAGACACACTGATTATGATATCCCTTTGTTTCTAGATAAATTAATCTTTTATTTCTACTGTCTTTGGGTGAGAAACTCAAAGCAACTCAAATCTCCAAGTCAATACTATGGTGCTTATAGTGACATGTGGAAACACCAATACACAGAGACATCACTGACAAGAGGAAGTTACTAAAAAATACCCAAAACTACATCTTAAGATCCTACTTTTCCTGAAGTATTGTTTCTGTTGTATTCCCTACATTATGAAGTGAGGAATTATCCTCAATCCAACAATCCTACTTTGGGGGATTTGATAGAAATGAAATCACCTTGTTGTAATTACTGGTATCTATAAAAGTTGTTTAATACAGCACTATTTACAAATGTAAAATTTCTTTTACATTTTTTTGCTGGTTATTATGAAAGCACTTTATTCTTTTGGATTTCTAAAGGAATATTAATATAAAACACTGTTTAATAGTGAGGAAAGCAGGAACGACAAAGAAAAGAGATACTTCAATATGACATTATGACCCAGTTATTATTGGACTAGTTATTATTTATTGCCTAACATAGCCATTCAAACATAGGCTAATATATACCAGAATTGGCATCAGGCAGGATCTGATACCATGCAAGTTTTTGTTTTCCTTTGGAAAGGAAGAAGTTACCTTAGTTAATAATTCAGAATCTTAGAAAAACTGTTTCAAAACCTAATTGTCATTCTACCAGCTTCCAGCATATTTATTCTCTGAGCACACTCAGGTCATGCTAATAGGGATTTATTGAGAAATGATTATGTGTGACGTGAGTGCTATGTAAGATTTTGGGAAATGAAAATGAATAGCACATGGCTCAACTTTCAAGGTAATTAGTCTAGTTGGGTGGAGGTTGAGAGGATGGCAAACACATAAATGGGGAGGATGTTGCTGGTGATGATGACAATTGTGCAAATGATGTGGAGAGAAAAGCATCATTGCACACTTGACCTGTAGGAATAAAGACATGGGGTGTATGTGTCAATCTGTGAACATTTGGTGTTATCAAGGTAGGAACTGCAAGATAAGGAGAGGCAGTAAATGCTATGGGGAAAACTAGTATGGCCAAACCATGGGAAGACCTTGCGTAGTATTTTATGGGACTTGGAGTTTTTCCATGTAGGCAGTGAGGAGCCACTCAAAGGTTTTCCATAGGAGAATGATAAGGTCAGATTTGCATTCCAGATAGCTCACACCAAGCCAGACATGTGCCCAAAAGCAGGGAGTCTAAGCAATTGACAGAAGAACAATCTTGATGAGAGGTGTAGGACCTGCATGTGGGCAATAATAGAAGGATGGATGGCATAGAAAGTGATTGAAACTAAAATAGGAGAATGATGTAAATAATAGGATGTGGAGATGAAGAGAATGTAAGACTCCTAGGGCATCAGTTTAGAAGTCTGGGTGGATTAAGATAAATAGTAAAGGAAGGTGGATGCATTAGTAGAAAAAGGATAGTTTTAGTTTTAGAAATGTCTGTTGTGACTTTGAGTTATGTACATGGAAGTATCTTGTAAACAGTTAGCCATATAAATCTGAGACTCGAGAGAAATCAGGCCTAGAGATAAACTTATATCATGGGATATACTTGCTTGTGTGGATGAGGGAATCACATTCATTATGAGCCAGATACTACACTTGACTCCCAATATTTGGTAATTATAAATACCCTTGGTTAAGTTTTTGTGTATACGTATTTCAACTTTGAATAAATGCCAAG